AGCCAAATGTTGACGCGACTCTTAAATTGTTGTAGAGACGTCGCGTGATGGAGGCTTATGTTCCTGACCATGTGGTTCCAAAGGCAGGTGGAACACTGTCCTGGCGAAGGGCACACGCACTTGCTCTTGTCGCTCGCGTCCACCATGGGCGTTGTAACTGGAGTCGTGGGGAGTGGGAAGGCATAAGCTTTACAGATGGAGTGTGCACTACGTTAACCTTTTTATAAAAAAGCGGCCAACATTGCGCCGGTGTTGCAATGGTTGTAGGGTGACATCTAGCGGTTGCCGTGTTTTGTAGCGTATGATTGCTTCCGTCTTCCTCTGATCCAGCAGAAGACATGAAGGCGAACAGGCAGACCACACATGTGGACTATACTCCATAAGACTGCGGACTTGCGACTTGTAGAGTACTGCTACACTGGGCCCGTCCAGGAGATGACTGATGCGACGGATGCATCCAAGCTTCCACGCAGCTGTCTTAGCCACTTGCTGAACGTGACGCGTGTATGCTAAGTCGCTGTCGAACTCTGCTCCTAGGATCTTGATGGAGTCTTGCAGAGACAATTTTTTGCCGTCGAGGAGGATGTTTGGAGCGGGGAAGGAGGCCAGGTCCCTCCGACGAGTGCATCGCCTCTTTCTTCTCCGGGGCCAGTGCCACCTGTCATCTCCGGCTTCACGCAACCAGGCTCTGAAGTGTCTGATTGATGCGCACTGTAGTCCGCTGATGATCCTCTCGCTTACACGCGAATGACACCGTGCAGTCGTGTGCCTTGGGGTCCAGAGGCACTGATGGGACACTCGGCGGAGTGGCCGTTCACCACCACGGAAGGTGATCTTCTATGAAGATAGCTTTGAAGAGGGTTCAGGAGGTTTCCACTGATGCCGAAGCTCCTTAGCTTTCTAGTGAAGCCACGGTGACACACTCTGCCGAACGCTCCAGCGATGCCTAGTGCGATCACATAAGTGTCTTGTCATCAGGCTTGACTCCATGACGATGACTGGACGAGGAGTAGGTCAGAAGCTGATCTCTCTGCCCAAAAGACGGTGGCCGTCGAAGTGCTTTATGAGTTTTTCATTAATCATACTTTCAAATATCTTGCTAACAACAAGTAGCAGAGATATGGGCCTATAATTGTTAGAATTCGTCGCTACACGGGGCTCTGCACAACCTTTGAGCAGACGGGGATTAATCTGGTCCCCACTCATAGCTTTATTCGTGTCTAAATGCTGAAGGATTTTCTTAATTTCGTCAACTTTAATGCTGATGGTTGCCAGTGTGGCTGTAGTAGAAAGGGACGGATGTGGGAATTAGGTCGAGGTCAGGGACACTCGTCTTGTTTGCAAAGTGAGTGGCAAGTACCTGGGCTTTTTCCTCACTCGCGACTGCAGTGGTTTATCAGGCTTTGTTAATGGGGGTATAGTTTCGTCCTGAAACAGGCCTTGTCGCTGCTTTATACAAGTCCACCAGACTTTATCACCAACAATGCAACCAGACAGTTTTTGTTAAGGTAATTTTGTTTGTTGTGGTTGGTTGGATGCTGCTTATATCGACGCCAGACTCTACTTTTCTGATCAGCAGCAGTACGACACTGATAACCAAATCATAGCTGATTTCCTGCTTTACATGTGTATCTCTGACTAGGTATAAAGCGATTCTTTAATATTAATAAGACGTCATTGATATGGATACCTGGTCATTGATATCGCCACGCAATATTTTATCCCTGCTTTAACTTGTGGTGCATCCTGGCCCGTTTGCCTTTATTCCAGGGCTAGTTTGTTCTAATTGTACTCTCCTCTCGATCCTCTTTTGTTATCACCTGCCAAAGTGGTCGGAGGATCCAACGGTCCCTCGTCGGCCTTGTCAGTGGGGCCTGTAGCGCACGCACATCAGAATGGGTGATTCGCCGTGAATCTTAAGGAAGATCATTTCCAGATGATCAGGGAAGTCCACAGAGATCCCCTTACCACGAAAGCAGACAGCGATGCCATCAGAGGTGCCAACCGCCCTGTCACGTCGGTGCCAGCATGTGTAGCCGTTCACTCTCCCAAAGGTGGCAGGGACATCAGGATTGAGGAATGTCTCAACGGTAGCAATTATATCAGGGTTGCGTGGGATTATAAATCTATATGTTAAATCGCCTCTGTTCGTCTGTCCCGACTAAGTTGCTAGCGCCGCTCTCTTGTGTGGGGCTCAGACGAGGGAGGGCCTTTGCGGCGCCTGAACACGCCCCTGGCTGTTGTTAGTGGTGGTGGTGCGGGTGCTATTGCTGCTGATAGTGTTTCTGTTGCTTATGTTGTTGACAACATTAGTTTTCTATCAAAAATAGCAGTGACTCCCTGTAGAGGTATGTCTTTTTAGAAAACCACCATTCGCGAGCTTTTTGATACTGAGAAAGGTGTTCGTGTCACTCTTCGTCTATTATTGTGGGTGTAGCACTGGCGCACTTCTAATGCACCTAAACTGGATTTGGTTGATTCCATGTTGTCAATTAGATCC